TTATGGATGGATGCCTCTAAAACTTTCAATGTGTTCCTTGTTATACTTATTTAAATACTAATGCTTCCTGAAACTCCTTTAAGATTTATTTGGATTTCTTGAAGAAGGTTCTTCCTTCCGTTGATTCAAGGAAAGTCAAATCATCCATTCATCCACGCACTAATCCATGCATCCATTCATCCATCCATTATGATGATAACAATGATATCGATGATGATGATGATGATCCATGAATCGCAACACTGTTTCTATTTATCTTCAGTAACTCATATCTTCCTCTCACTTTCATTCGCGTCGCCCGATCACACTTTTCGTGACGCTTTCACCAGCTTACCCCTAAGTCAAGCGTGCGTAAAGAAGTTTTACTTCAAAAAGTTGGGTTTCCGCCTGTCTTGGTCCATGGATAACTTAGCTTTATTTAAATTTGAATAGCTTGTTCATGCTTAGAATTCGCGTCGCAGTTTTTAAATCCAGACTATTGGGAAGGAATCAAATATTTGTTTTTAAATAAAAAGACATTTGGAAGTTAACAACTTTTTCAACAATCTCAGAATACCAATTAGACTAGGTCTGAGACTAAGTTCTTTTATGTTATCTACCATCGACTTATATGGTGGTATTATATAGTAGGTATACCTATGTGGTAGGATTCCTTTGCATTAGAACGATATTGAATAAAAAAATATAAAATAAATTCTTAGTAACTAAACCATAACGCTAAGAATTATTATTGTAATTATCATAAAAATGTAAAATACCATGATAAAAGATTTTAAATATAGTAACTTTTTGTTTTGTTTAATGTTTAAATTTCAAATTTTTTTCGTTTTCTATAATTTTAAATTTGATTTTTATGAATTATATATTATGTACGACATGATTATGGTTGATTTCATAAAAAGTGGTCGAAAAATTTTGATAGCAAATATGTATTATCGGCATTATCTATGTATTATATACTCGCCGTGCTGTTTTTAAAAATGAAACAAGAATTAAAAACTATTTGAAATATGACAAGAAAGTCAAAAAGGTATGTGTGAATTTTATCTTTGTGAATATATATTTATGTATATCTAAAATATATATTTATATACTGAATTCTTAATAGATCATACAAAGTTTACGCAGTGATAAAGTACCGAACATAACAAAGACACATGTTGTGCTGTTGATGATTTTATTTATTGGAGGAGTTTGTGCAGCTATGTTATGGGATTTAGTTTTAAATTTTAACAGCAAGATTTTTTCTTTATATTTTTGCATCTATTTAGTTTTGAGGTTCAGAGTACATTTAATGTTTTTATGATTTATTTAGGAATAAGCTTCTCGTAACAGTAATTTTGTAAGGTTGTTTTTTAGATAAAAATAATTTCACCCAGAAATAAATTATTTTTGCTAATTAGTTCTCATGACTTAACTTTTCACACTGTTTGTAGTTTTTTGTAGCAATGTTGCCTAATTAATTATATTTTTATTTCTGATTGACGATAAAAAGTATATTTGACGTTATAATAATCGTTGGCACTTATTTCTAGTGACATTATCTTGCCATTAGAATCGTATAGTGGTCACAATCTTACCATTGGTAAGTTAAAACCCTTTATTCTGAAGCAATGAAAGAGGATAAGAAAAATACTACATAATATTGTCATCATTATATTTGAGTATATAAATTTAAATGGAATGTTTAATTACTGCATTTCCGTAGACACCATCGGTTTGAGGAGACAAAACATAGCAGAGAGGATCCATCAAATTCAATCTTCCTCTATATCAACTTGTGATGTTTTAAGAGATTTGAATAACTCTGATAATGTTTTGTTATTTTTACAACTAGTGTCATTAACATTCAATATTGGTGTTACATTATACAGCATGTATTTATTACATATAGGTAATACTTGTTATTATTTTTTATATAATTAAAAGCCAGTAAACTAGGAATAAGTGAGTATCGTTTCAAATTACTATTATTCAGAACTACAATAATTAATAATAATGACACTGTCGCAGTAGTATTTCGATTTCATCATAATTTTCATTGGGATAACACAAACGTTACAATAGAAAAAAATAAACATAAAAATTAGTATAATGAAAAAAAAATGGATCGTTTGGGAACTTGTTTTTGTAAGTCAGTAAATGGCAGAAGCAGATTCATTGCAACATGAGAATAACTCTATTACAATCTCTGCTGTTGTTTATTGATATTACATGATGAATTTTTGGAATAAATATAATAATTGAATCGGTCATTTCAAAAATCTCGTAAGTTACAAAATTATAATTTTTCAGAAATCAATAAAATCTGTTTCATACACAAACGAGTTTTGAAGGGCTTCTTTATGGTTAATTTAGTATTCGAGGGGTAAAAAATTAAAATAGCGTATAATCTTTTCGCTTTATTAATAGAAATAATGAAAAAAACCTGATAAACAGTTCTTGACTTATGTTGTTTTAGCGAGAAATAGGTTTAGTGGTATCTAATATAACTAAAAAAAATATTTCATATTCTCAATAAAATTTTCTGGCTTTTCGCTTTAAACAGAAATGAGTTTAAATGAAGTTTTTTTATAGAAAATATTGAATACTATTGATTTGTTAGCTTCAATAAAGGATATTTTATATTTTCAGCAATACGAAGATTTAATATATTATAAAGAGGGTATGAAAAACATTGATTAAATATTTGTTGTAATTAAATAATATAAACATATAACACGAGAGCTTAGTGATTCTAAAATGACTAATTTCAATTTCTACTTTAAAACTGTAATTTGAAAAAAAATCCATGTACATTACAAAACATATTAAATTATAAATATTATTTAACACACGTTAGATAGAGGCCCCTTAAACCTACACCTGGGTCACAAGTCCCAGGCACTGTTGAAGCTCCTCTCTTTGTAACGCGATGGACCCGACACCCGCACGGTGAATCCATGGAAAGCTGAGAAGTTTTAATCGTCAAGTTGAAATAATATCTTATCTAAACTACATAGATAAACAAAATTATGTTATAAACAATTAGAAGCGTATTGTAGTTAAGATTTTATGTCATCTTTTATTTATACAGTAATGTGGCAAAACCTTTAAATAATGAGATCTAAAGCTTTCGCGACTATTCATTTCAATGAATCTAATATTTTTCGGTTTATACTACACGTATTTAATTATAGTACTTACCACATGCTCCCGACGGTTTTGTTACTTTTCACCAACCGTGATTACGGGCAGACGAGATGTGAATGTCTGTCAGTTGGTCTTGTTACTTATCATTTACCGCAATTTTTAAAGAGAATTATTAAACAGTACAACTCCGACAAAATAATGAATAATAATATCCAAACATGCTCTTTAAATAATCTTAATTCTCCTATCCTCTCACCTTTTCTTTTTTCTTTCACTTTTCTATTGCTATTTTTTTCGTCAATTTCCAATAAGCTACTTAAGTTGACCCAAAGTAAGACCCAAACATTTGTAATAAACCTAAAATTTTGCTTTACTTAAAGTGAATGTAATCTTTTAGAATGAAATAGGGCTTTATTATTTTCTTAATTTATTAAATAATTAAAATGAATTAACAAAGAATTTGAATGAAAATCAGTTATCCTGAATGTTCTAAATGAATAAGGGGAGTTTTGACTCTTGTTTTTATCGTCATAATTTCAATTTCAAAATTTCATTCACAAACCACATCCGCGATTACTATTAAATTGAATATTTCAATAGGAAAAATAAAAAACTTGACATGAACTGATCATCTAAACTATCTTCTTGACATAAAAATTATATACATTATTTTAATATACATACATATTAATAAACTTTTTATAACAAAAGTGTATATTTATTTGTGTATATTTATTTGTGTATTTTACCAAAATGTATTTCAATAATCATTCGTAACGTTAGACATTTCTTGTTAAAGTCATACTTGCAGCAGAAACCTTTTATTTTAATTAAATAATATAAAGTGTTTGGTTAACAGTAATAAAAAGGCCAAACGATCCTTAGAATTTGGTGGCTGGAATTTTTTTTTTTTTCTTAGGTTCACAAAGTGCAACATTGCTTATATATTCAATACAGCAATTAAAAGGACAGAAAACAATTACTTATATTAAACATAACTTTAACAAATCAAATCCTGTTGACTTATTTATATGACACAATTTTTAGAATACATAAAAATTAATGCCAATTTCCAAATAGATATAGTATATTAAATATTAAGATTGAAAAACACAAGTATAATAATTTAATTCTTCGATTGTAGAATCGATAAGTTCATTGAAGCGTAAGAAAGTTCGTCAATGGTACTTATTTCTTATCCACTAGACCCTAATTTAATCATAATTTTGTTTTACAAAGGTATTGTAATGTCTTACATTCTTGTGCGATAATATAAATATATCATATTTTATTAATACTCACAGACAATTTCAACATAAATCGTTGAAATTGTCTGTGAGTATTAATAAAATTAATCTAAGATTACTTCTTTGAGCCTAATCAATACATCAGTAATATTTAAACCAATAATAATACTGTGCTAAATTACTATTCTTACATACTTAATTTATTATTATTATGTTAAGCTAATGTAATAAAAATTTAGATTCCGACCAAACAGCGCTAACTTAATCACGACAAAAATCACGCTAAACTTGATACACGCAGGGTTTCGAGTAGTCTGACTCTGTCTGTCTGCCATAATACTATCGTCTCAGAAGCGGACGATAGCGAAACTTGTAGTTGTTATAGAACGATATACTACTACGAAATAATGCAGTTTGCTTAAAATTTGTTTGATTCATACATTTATAATCAGAAAACTACATATTTTATACAGCATAGTTTTAAAATTCGAATGACATTGTTAAAAAACTTGTGATAATTCCAATAATCTGAAAAGATAAATTTCAATTTATATAGAGTGGAAATAAAAGATATGAAAATATACAGCTTACTTACAAATAATGTTAAGTTTGATAACGAATTCATACCGTTGGAATGAGAAGCCTTCCAACGTTGCACATTTCGAAGGCTGTAAAATTAGCATCCCATAGCACTAAGTGTTGAAAAAAAGAGTCCACTTCATAGTAAAGTGGATCAGTATCAGACATCACACAACTCATCATCTCTGCCACCAACAAACGTGTTTTATTTACCTGGAATATAATTATTTTCACTTTTTGAATATCGATACGAAAATTTATGCAATTACGTTTTTGTCATTAAAACAATATTTAGCTTATATTTTAATTTAATTAGAATATAAGGATTGAAAAATTCATAACCACAAGGTTATTTACTTGCAACCTTCGGAATATAACGATACAGAAACTGGAACGCGATATTCCAGAGTAAATTGTTGAAGTTTAAATTTATTGCTAAACAAATTTATTAACAATTAAATATTTACCATTTTTTTAATCAAATAAAATGGTTCAACTAGCATCATTACTTGTACCGTGTGATACAAAAACCATGCACACTGCAGAGCGAGTTTAATGTCTTGCAATAAAGTATCTGCAATTTCAGCTACGTGTAAAAATATATTTTGGTATTCCTGAATATGTTTTAATGTTATTCATTCAAATTAAAAAAAAATTGAATCTTTTCTAACGATTCCACAAATTGTGAGAATAACATATTTTCAATAGAAATTATTAAACAAATAATTTGAAAAAAATGCAATGCAATGAAACACTGAATACTGGATAAAATAATTGATGAAAAAATTTCATGACGACATTTTCAATCGGTATTAATGATATGAAACATAGACAAAGATGAAGGGTATCGAAATAATTATTAAAACGGATACTTAAAAAATACTATTTAAAAAATATATATCAATATAATTTTATTAATTGGTCATTGTAATTCGATTAAAGTTTTTTAAAATGAAAACGTATTTCTTTTCTTTTATTAAGATATTTGTCCGGTTCATAAAATAATACTATCAAAATAAAATTAAGTACAAAGTTTAAATTCATACCTTCATGTGTTATGAGAATATTATATATCGTGAATGCAATATTGAAAATAAAAGACACAAGAAACAAAAATAACAAAAAGTTATCTGACGTATTGAATTCTTTTAAAACATCACATGTTTGAACGAAGGACTTTTTGATTTGACTGATCCTCTGCGCTGTTAACTGCCTTTTAAAACTATTATTATCTAAAAAAATATTATACATGTGTTGAATATAACATAAAACTTAATTATGTATTAATGAGACTATATTTGTATTAACGTACTCTGAGGTGTGTTATCGACAGCACCGATCCTATCAATGGCTGCATTTATTGCTTCCAATGTTATATTGAAATCCCTTAAACAGAAATTGTAATGGTTTTAATGAACTTAAATACTTGTGATGATAATTTTAATGAAAACTTGAAATTAACTGTACATTGTTATAGATAATTATTTTATATGAAATATAAATCAAGTAAATACTAACGATGTACTGTCAGTCATTCTAGAAAGTTCCATTTTTAATTCTGCTCTGATAATTTTAAATGGAACGTTGATGGAATTTGCCATATTCACAAATTATAGCTGGAGAAGATTTATGGCAGTAAATTGAATAATGACGCCATAATAAATGATTATTTTAGCTGAAACTAAATATAACAACAAAAATCTCATTAAGAAAACTTTATTAAACATCGCGAGAATATCTAGAGAAAATGAGTCCAGATCAAATTGCCATCCTTCTAAAATAAAAATGAAAATATTGTTAATGAGTGAAGCATTAATCATTATGTAATGAAATAATTAAATAATTATAAATTTTATAAAAAAATTGGTTTCGCATAATTATGGGGTTAACATTTAAAATCTGTAAAAAAAAACAACAAAATTACACAAGATTCATTCATTCATTTTCAATCTCTTGCCTACTTCCAAATTTGTCCTTTGATAATTTTTTAAAAGTAACTATTTATATATTTATAAAATTGAGTGAAAATTTTATTTTCAACGCCAGAAGAAAATAATCGTCAACGCTATGCTCGTTTTTCTACCGTTTGATTATCTTTAAGAGAATATGTACTAAGCAATTATATTCATATTTTATGAAGACACGGGGTATATAATTCATTAGCAAATAACAATCAAGCAAATAACAATCTTACAAGGCTTTAAATATGAAAAATGGTATTTATTTCTGTGAAATACACATTTTACATAGAGGAGATGAAAATAAATTTTTCAGGACTCCATGAATTCACCGTGCGGGTCCATCGCATCGCATTTCGCATCTGAGACTTGTGGCCCAGGTGTATGTTAAAGGCACCCCTATCTAACGTGCGTTAAACGCTCACCTACACTGTCCTCTACCTTAGCAAATCTGAAACGAACCTACTAGGGCTGCCTTCAAAGTACATTCCAAGAATAAATTGATGTTAGTTCTAGACAGGCCCAAGTTAAACTGTTATTCCCCTCGCTGCCACTTTTACCGCGTAAAAATGTACGACTAACCTAATCCTAGTGAGCTCGTTATTGAATTCGTAATAACTATTGACCCTCATGGCATGGTCGGGGGATGTTGGTTTCCCAAGGAACCGTAAGTTCTAGTAAGACAACGGACTTTAAAATTTCAGGTCTGGACGCTGATCTACAAATATCCTCTGGAATTTTTATATTGTCTTTTATACTATCCATCATTATAGTTCAATCCAGACCTGCTTATGATAAGGATTGACGTTTGATTTTATAGCCCTAGTGCCTTCTCTCACTTTTGTGAGAAAACTTATACCTAAAAGACTAAAAGCTTCAAGTATGATTTTTTGAACCCCCATCGTGGCGATGAGAAGTTTTTATCCCGTTCTATAATATAAGAATTGAAATTTAAATAAAACTAGCATTTACAGATTCGGCACTAAACAATCCCAACATTTCGATTACTTTAAAGTTATCGTGATTACGGACAGACGGGATAAAAAATATTTTATAAAATACTCGCGAAGTTTTAAATCTCATTATAAGAATTGAATTTTATCTTATCATACTTACAGCCATATGAATAGATTACACAATCCAGAACCATGAGAGCCGGCAATCTAATCACAAAAAATATCATTGATATGACGTCACGCATTTCTAATTTTGGCATTTCTTTACCAGTGTTTATGCATCTTATAATCTAAATTCATTTTTAATATATTAAGTAATATTCGTTTAGAAAATCTTAAAAGTAAATACCATACCTTATATATTTTACTTTCAAACATCAGATAGTTTTTAATCCTCACTTCATTCTTCAAAGCTCCATAAAAAAATATTATCATATTTAACATTGTTTGAATGCCATAAAATACAAATTTTCTTTGGTAAACACTGTCCGTGCCAATTGTTACCAGGCTATAAATCTTGCATGTCAGGTACAGTTCTAGAAAGTAAATACAGATAAATATTAAACTTTCAAATTAATAAATAAGATAAAATAGACCATTTATTATGCTATAATTCGTTTCTATATTTCCAATTACACACTCAGAGGTCTTCATATATTTTTTAATATTTTAGTGTTTTATTGAAATTATTTTTATGTATCAATATTATATTGTTTTAGCCATACATATGTATGTAACATTTAATGTAATATAATTTATTCAATTACAAAACTTTTTATATATTAAATTACGATATTAAAAGATTTTGTCACTTAAAATTTGTAAAACATTACCATTTACTATTATGTAATGTTGATAAAAAATAATGTGACTATATATAGATCCTTTGAATTAGAATAGGCTTCCAATATTATTACTAAACACATCTAAGGATTCATTTCGTGACTTAAAATTATTTTAATTACAGTTAACTAGATATTTATTTAATATGAGATACTAGATATTTAATTAATATGAGATACTGAATAAAGTGATGAAAAATGTTGTACTCGTGAAACTTCAAGAACAAAAACTATGCTCGATCATGTGTCTACAAATATGAGTAATAAGAAATTCAAACTTTCTCTAATTTAATCATCATTAAAATAAACTTAAAATATATATTAGACAATATTAAATAGTACTAGCCATTCCATGTATCAAATATTAACGTATGTGTGAAACATTATTTTATCTCATGTAAGTGAACCTATGTATGTTCTTATGAGAATAAAGATCTTGAACCATAACTATCCAATTATTGTAACGGCGATGATATTAAAAATCTTAAAAGAACGTGGAAAGTAGCAACCAGTTCCATTTGATGAAAAACGTATCGGAGCAAAACAGCATAGTCTTGAAAGGTGTAGTATGAATCGCCATGAATCACTCAGTATCAAGCTGCGTGGTGATATCATTTTCTGTAATTATATATGGGAAACAGTATTTGTAGTTTTATATACACCTAATAAAAAAGTAGCCAAAATAACTGAAAATAAGCCATACATGAACTGTCATTATTTTAAAGATTATGTAATCATAGGACAAAAATGAGTTGTATCATTATGAAAAAATATTGATACTCTTATGCTGGATCGATATTAGCCACACATAGATAAGAACTACAAAGTAACTGGCTTTCAAATGAAAAAAATATATCGTTATCGGTTGATCCTTTTGAGAGCTACGATGCCACATGCAAACACAAACCTAGCATCTACATCAATCTTCTAACACTCCGCTTTTAGAGTTAGAGATTACAAGTGAATATTTTTTTCTTAATTTCTCACCATTTTACTATTTTTATAAAAAATTCCATATGTTATTCCATAGAAAATAATGTTATATGTTAAATATGTCTACAATTTTGAGTAAAATTTCATATGAACTGCTTTTAGAAAATAATGTTATATGTCTTCGAATGATTATCGTGATGTAACTGATAAGTGGTAGTTACGACAAACCGATTTATTTTTAAGATATCAGTAAATTATCTTTTTCTATTGTTTTGTAAGTTTTAACTAAAAATATATTTACACTTTTTTTGTCTGGTTAATAGTATATTCTACAATATAAGATTTTTGTTCAATAAATACCCATGAGGAAAGGATTATGAAGAAACAAGCAGTTCCCCGTTTTTAACTTCTTATATTTACAATGATACTAAACGTTTTCATATAAATAAACATTTTATAAGTAAAATCAATCGACAGGAGAGGATTATAATTCAATCACCAATTTAGATACAAATAAACAGGAC